GTGAATGTCGGGCGTAGGGCTGGCAACCCCATCCCGTAAAAATAAAACCACTGCTACTGAAAATTCAAAGCTCTACCTTGAAGCCCTATGTCCCACTGGGAACGTAAAGTAATAAAACAAAGAATTTTTAAAAACTAGTGTCAGAGTAAAACCTGTTTGATATTTTACATTAGAAAGAAGGCCTTTATGCAAAAGTCTAGACGTTGTTTCAAAATGTCAATCCATAGGAAACCCACGTTGAACAGTGAGCTGACAAGTTCCTATAGCTAGGTGTCTGTTGAATGAAAGCGAAATTTAGTGAAAGCGCTTGCCACTTGCATCCAACTCATCTGTAGCTCTGATGCTCTAGAAGAATAATTAGACCTTCTAAAAGAAATCTTCATTCGAAATGGATACCCACAGAGATTCATTGACAATAACATCAAACCCAAAGTTCGGAGACGCGAAACATTTGTTCTATCAAAAAAGAAACTTTACGTGAACATCAGTTTCGAGAGTGACTTAATCTGAGATATTATAAAAGAAGACTTCCATTTATACGAACATTTTTTCTCAGGAACGCTAATAGTAGTGTTATTCAGTTGTCCAATGGTCTACATACGCCTGAAGGACATGGTCTCTCATTTCATCTGCTCTGTAAGCATATATCATTTCACCTGTTCATGAAGCCAGGTTTATTGGTCGTTCGAAGCAAATCATGTATAAAGGGCTTCAAGAACACTGTCCCACATGATTGTAAAAATGCGGTAGTAGCTCTATCAGGAGTGTGATTATTAAACACCTTGACAACACTCATCATTCCATCTCAACAAACACCTCCGTCAATTTGAAGACCATAATCGTGACCAGTAGGGTACAGCAGGTTGAAGATGAGGCAGTATCTCAACGAAGAAGACATGGCGAAATGGTCTCGCTATGTCGTGAATTGGCAGAAGTCGGAATTCATGGATTGACCAGTGGATCGGCTCCCAGTGGCTTAATGGTCTACGAGCTCCCTGGCCTTGTAACCAGAAGGTCTTGGGTTCGAACCCCAATGGGTGAGTACTGATGAAGTGTCCCAAACTAGACTGACGAAACAGCTGCCCAGTACTCCCAGGTTTTTCACTTGTTCTCTGACTGATGTCAGCTCATGACGAAATCCTCCATCCAATCAAACAGAAGCTTTGTTTATCGAATCAACTGCAAATACGTCCCATAGGAATGATTCAACACCTGTCCTAGATATCTGGAAAATTCTACTACCCCTATAACAAATAGGAGAGAACAAAGAAGACCATGTAATTGATATGATTATGAACAATGAATTTTGTTGGGAACGTCATCCAGTAAATAATGCTGTTTCACTTTGTGATACACCTAATAAACAAACTAATATGGAATTGTTTTTCTAACTGTTTATAACGCTTATTGAAATACGCTGAGGCTATAGCCATTCATACACTCAAGTCTGTCCCGTATCGTTTCAAAGACAGTTAATCATTATTCTTAACCTACCGTGGTAATCCCTATTTGATTGGATTATCAAATATCGTGCTAAGTATTCTTATTATTCTGAAATCCTTTTTGTCCCCTTTTGTACTTTAACAGCCCTTTATTTTTCTATAGATATCGACTTGACAAGTAAATGTTTGATCAGAGTGTTCGAAATGTCCAGCGCAAAAACATTACATTTTTCAGACAATCTATGTCTTATAATAAAACTATCTCAGTTTAAAACCCTTGTATTTATTTAGAACTGTTGCATAATTTCATAATTTCTTTTGTCTCAAATGCATCCTGAATTACAACTCATTCATTATTTTTATTCATTTTTTTATGTGACCTTTATTCAACTCCTCTTATGACCTGATTAATATTAACAACTTTCATTTTGACAAGTCATCACTTTCATTCCTACCCTTTTTCAGGAAAAATAATTGAATAAAGATGCGATTTTAAAGCTAAAGGATATTAAATCGCTGAAAAGAGCCTCTTCGCTGAACTACTTGTTCTGTGATTTCCACTAATATCTGGCTAGAGTTAAATCATGAATTAGGACGTTTTTAACTCAATAATGTGTTTTAATAGAGTATTTCAGTAAAGTTATCCATATCAAAAAGGATATTATACTGCCAGATATAGCTTTCAGGCATTCAGGAGTCGTGGAAATAACAAAACAATGTGAATGAATAATAGATAAGGATAGAATCCTCGACAATGTGAAACTTCCGATTGAAGGTCACAAAATGAATAAACGTTTTACGATAGGTTAAAGAATTCATTTTTCGAATACTATGAACGCGACACAATACTTACATGACTAGAATAACTGCAGAATATACAATATTTTGGTAGTGTAAACTTGCAATGAATTACGAACTCTCCATTTCGAATGAGAATTAAAAATTCAACAGTAAAAGTTTGTACCTAAGTTCAGCTGGAGGGGCAATATACTGAATTTAGCTTATGGTGAACTTTTTCCAATTAAACCAGCATGAGATATGAAAATTCAAAAGATATTCTCCTTTTATGGTGAAATAGCAAGAATACAAATCCATATTACTAAATAAGTATAAACAATTTAGAGGTCAGTTCTTACAGGTGTATGTGTAAACTAAGTCTATTGAAGATTTCTTGTCCTTTGTCCTTTGTGAATGTCCTTTTAGTTTAGCTTCTGTCAGAGCTACAGATGTTTTAGGTAATACTATCCTCCCTGCTTCTTTAGAAGATCAGACTATATATGTAGTGGTAGCACCTACCTTTTAGCAAAGTAAACCTGACTTCTAAGAGAATTCCTAAAGTGATTGAAGGAGCCTAATCAAAATTGGAAAATAAGCTGGGAGTATTGGCCAGCTAGCCGTTTCGTCCCACTAGTTCTAGGCTCTTCATCAGTGCGCATCCACCGGGGTTTGAAACCAGGACCTTCTGCTTATAAGGTGAGCTCGTAGACCATTAAGCCACTGGGACTCGATCCAATGGCCCATGAATTCCAGCTTCTGCCATAATTGTTTCTAATCCTAGCTGATGTGATACAAAAAGAGAGAGTTGCATATAAAGTAGGTGCTCATAATCTGACAAGATGATATTCCCCATTTTTCTGCATGAGTTCAAATGTCTGTCCATAACAGTACTAACGTGTTGGTTTAGTGGCAACTCAGTCACCCTACTGACAGCTTTTGGTAGTAAAAGAATATTCTTTTCGATGAATTTATCATCAGTTTCTACCGCTATATATCCGTGGTAATGAAAGAATAATTGTTATTGACAACACTGGTGGTTTTTAAAGTTTCTAAATTTTGACTAATCAAACGTGATTCTGCGTACCAACGTAATTAGTGAGATACAAGGTTCTGTTTGCAGGAAACTTAGTTTATTGAAACTTAGCTAAGAAATGTGACCCCCTTTCATCATGACTGAATCATGCAGGATGAATTTTGTCAAAAACCTAGAAAATATCAAGACTAGTGAATTTACATTGAAATGGGAAAATCAAATAAATAAACACCAGATTCTGAAATTATTTTTCCATGACTTTGTGCTACTTAATAGTAGTATACGTCGAAATCACACATTATTTCGTATAACTGGACAGTTTGAATGAAACAAGGTTTCAAAAGTTACTCTCAAGTTTATAACCTTTACATCAAGTTTCCATATTCAATTAATACATTCTCTTCATTACTTCGAGGAAATTCCTCTCTTCCAAAAGTTTATAAACACAACTAATTGACTATATTTCATCCCATTTAAACCAACAACTGTAAAACCTAATTTATATAAATACTTATCAAGATTTGGCGAAATAGTTACATAGACATTGGACTTTGAATGAAAAGTAAGCGTATTTAATTACTACGCTATATTTGTTCGAGAAAGTATGCTGTATGAAAATTTCAAATTACTTATTTTATAATCGCAAAGATCTTTACATTAAGAAAGGCTCAGTTACATTTTAAAGGGTATTAAAAGCTGTCAGTAGGGTGAGTGAGTAACCACTAAACCAACACGTTAATACTGTTATGGACAGACATTTGAACTCATGCAGAAAAATGGGGAATATCATCTTGTCAGATTATGAGCACCTACTTTATATGCAACTCTCTTTTTGTATCACATCAGCTAGGATTAGAAACAATTATGGCAGAAGCTAGAATTCATGGGCTGGCCATTGGATCGAGTCCCAGTGGCTTAATGGTCTACGAGCTCACCTTATAAGCAGAAGGTCCTGGATTCAAACCCTGGTAGTGGGTGCGTATTACCGAATAGTGCCAAACTAGGCTGACGAAACGGCTGTTGAGTACTCCCACCTGGTTTTCCAGTGGTTTTCTAACTGATGTCAGCTCATGATGAAATCCTCCAACCAATTATTAATGACTTTATGCTCGTACGACTAAGTATAAAAATTCATCAATATTCGGCGCCGATTTTATATGGTGTGAGTAAAGTGTTAGGTATCAAAACTACTAACTTACTGCAAAACACGAACTAAACGCTTTTTCTATCATCGATAGACTGTTATCACTATTTCTATTCAATTTTAGTCTTAATTTTACATTCATTTTCTTATTAACATTATTAATAATGTAAATGTCCCGGGATTCATTTTTCCTCTCACTACGTAATGTAAAGATAAAATAATATGGAGTATTGTACTACTACATGCTGAGAATACCAGAATGTTTCAGAAGTGCTGTCTGAAATATAAATTCACTATGGCTATTATTTAATATACTAACTGTAAAACCTAACTAAGCTAAATATTTATCAAAAAGAATCCTACACATAAAGTAAAAAGTAAGGTGTCCATTGAGTATTTATCTAGTGCATCATTCACACCTAACTTATGGACACAAACATACAAAGAATATGGTTGTCATGACCACAGAGTCAAACCTTTGTCCCCCATGGCGTTTTTTTTAAAAATGTCAACATAACCTGATACTGGTCTGTTGTTCAATCTTTAACTTTTTGACTTCATAATATATAAATTTGCGAAAATCAGAACAGAAATTTACTTTTTGTTAATTTCTTAGGATATTTGATTTGTTTCTACGAATGCAGAGTACCTAGAATCGACGTGAATTTCTTAAAAATATAACTAGTATATTAAAATGGACTGATTCTCGATAGGACTGAAAAGTAACCTCTGCGTTTAAAACATTTGATTCCTTATTAATTTGTTTATTAGATATATCACACAGTGAAACAGTATTATTTACTGGATGACGTTTTGAATTTGACGTTTTTGAATTTATTATTCATAATCAAATACAATTATAATCACACGACTTTAGAAACTAATAACCTCAGTAGGATGTATGGTGTTGTTAGAGTTCGTAAGTCAAGACACCCCAATAGACCTAAAATTGATTTTAGAAATTCACCTACTTACGAATGGTCTAGATATTTAGCTATGGTATTAGATCCTCTCAGAAGCCACTCAAAATCTAGACTAAAAAATTCTTATGAACTAAAATATAGATCAGATTAGATCATTTAAAATTAGACAGTGAGGAAAAATGTTTAGCTCTAACAGTCAGTTTATATACACGCATACCGATAAACATGGCTATAGAAGAATTCAGAACCGAACTCATTTCTGACCAAGAAATTGAACTTAGAGCAAAAGTGCTACTTGAGAATATAATGCTTTGAGTGCAACTAGCTATGCCTGACTTCCACAGTACTTAAATTCAGAGGGAAAATATACAAACAAACTGAGTGAGTTGGCATAGGGTCACCAATATCCCTGACTGTGGCAGATGTATTCATAAATAGGTGGGAAAACGTAGCGATTGAAACGTTTAGCCCTAACCCAAAAGTATGGTGGAGGTATGTAGATGACACATTCACTGTACTCAGAGCACAGAATATAAATAGGTTTTTCGAAGGTGAAGACAATTGAATTCCCTTATAAACTTAAAAGTCAGGAAGGACAACTTCCAATGTTAGATTGCAGCGTAAAAAGTAAAGAAGATGGGAAGTTAAACACTAATGTTTACAGGAAACTCACATATTCAACCAGATATTTGGATTTCTGATCATCCCACCGTGTGTCAGCAAAAATAGAATTGGTGAGATGTTTAAGTGACAGAGCGCAAAAACTAAGTAGTGCCAAAGAAAATCTAAGACAGGAAGTGACACATTTAAGAGAAGCCTTGAAACTTATTAATTACCCTAACAAATCAGTCAGAAAGTATGTAGGAAAATGTAAAAATAAAATTAGTAATAATAGTCGTTATAGTGGTGATAATAATAATAATATTAATGACGACATGCATGTCGAAAATCCACAGGATAATGACAACACCACCAGGAGGGAATATAAATCATCATTAGTACTTTGATACGAAGAAGTAACCTCGGAAACCTTACGCAGAATTCTTAACAAGGCAGAAATAAAAGTGGCTGGTTTTCAAAACCACAAACTCAATTGCAAACAAGCTTTGTCTATCAAAGGATCCTATGCAGCCTTTAAAACAAAACAATTTAGTTTATCTAATACCCTGTCTGAGTTGACTGTCAGGTCAAAAACATAGGTCAAACTAGTAGAACAGGGGCATTCAGACTAGCCGAACATAAAAACCCAGCAGTAAAATCCAGATTGGTTGATCCAAATAAGATAAGAAATCTAGAGAATAGTTTAGCCATAGCATTACATGCAATCACACACAACCATAAAATAAAATGGATGGGATAGGATGACAGATTTAAAATCTAATGTAACAGCTGGGTGGAGGGAGAGATTGATAACAGAAGCTTTGTTTATCGAATCAACTGCAAATACATGTAATAGGAATTATTCATCACCTGTCCCTGATATCTGGAAAATTCTACTACGCCTACGACAAATAGGAGAGGACAAAGAAAACTATAAAATTCAAGTTTCGAAGTCGTGTGATTATAATTGATATGATTAGGAAAAATAAGTTGTGTTCGAAACTTTGTCATCGAGTAGATCATGCTGTTTCACAGGGATACATCTAATAAAAAAACTAGTATGGAATCACATACTACCACATTACTCAAGTTTTACACTCAAATTAATTTGTTATCTTAGCTTATACTGCTAACTTTCTCATCTTTTAGATAAGTATGATACAAAATGTAGGCATTCATAAAAAAATTTGAAATTGCGAGTAATCAATAATCTTCTTTTCTGTTTCATTTCTCAGAGATTGATTACCCCCTTATTTGATATTTCACTCTGTTCTGGTATTAAATTACATAGCCTAAAATGTACAAGTTTCTTAAGTTTGCTGAATCGCTTTGGAATTTCATCCTAATCACTCTGATTATCTCATTCATCTTATTATCTTATTCTCTAATTTCCGCGCTTTTCGATTAGTGCGCTACAATTCCCTACTTACATAAAACTATCATTTCTCTGGTGTTTCTGACCACGAAGTTTTGGAAATTATTGCAATCCGTTTACTTTCGAACACTAAACCTGTGGATACAATCTTGTTGAATACTAATACCTATAACTAACTGGTTGACATTTTGTGACTTTTTAACACTAACTCATATCTGTAATAGTATATATTGTTGGATTTACATGTTCAGTTTAGCCCAAGTCAGTGAGTCTATGGTTTTGGCATCATTTTAGTTAACTGTGCTTAACTCTATTGTATGTTGTTGTATTGTGTTTTTGTTGTCGCTTGTTGCCCTTTTTGCCGTGAATTATTTTCTTTTTACAGGTGTTGTTCTGATTGTTTTATTCTTTGTTTTCCGGTTTTAAGGGGAGCAACCCACAAGGTCGGTTCTCTCTAAACTTTATCTTAATGTAACCATTCCTTTCTCAGGCGTAAGGTTAGTAACCCCACTCTGTAAACAAAACTGCTACAGAAACTTCAGCGCGATGAATCTCTTCGCGCAAAAAAAGTCTGTGTGGGGACATGGAATGTCCGAACCATGTACGAAATTAGAAAATTGCCCAGATCGCAAACGAGACGAAAGATAAGGGATTAAAGTACTGGATATATGTGAAGGCGGATGGAACGGGACACAATTGTCAAAGGTGAGTCAGTGATCACTACGGTCACTCAGAAGACAACCACGAGCACATCAAGGGCGTGGCTATCATGATGTCACCAACGGCGACGAAGGCCTTAATGCAATGGAGGCCATCTCCCAGGATAATGACCGCCAGACTCAACTCCAAAGGAAGGAAAGTGTCAGTTATACAATGTCATGCCCACAAACAACGGAAGAATTTTACACATAACTACAGGCAACAGTGAACAATACTCCAGTCGGTGACATTAAAATACTAGTGGGAGACATCAACGCCAAACTGGGACCAGACAACACAGGAAGAAAACTCATCATGGGTAGAGAAGCTCTCGGAGAAATGAATGAAAATGGAGAACTCTTCGCCGACTTCTGCGCCTTCAATGAACTAGTGATTGGTGGAAGCGTACACAAACACAAAGATATCCACAAGGCTACATGGGTGTCACCAGATGGACAAACCAAAAACTAAATTGACTTCATCTCAATGTCGCTCAAGGAGGCGGAGACGCATCCATCTGGACACAAAAGTAAGAAGAGGAGTAGACGTTGGCTCGGACCACTATCTCGTACAAGGGACAATCCAAATCAAATTAAAAACTTTCAGAGAAACAGGAGCTACAGGTACACCACAAGCCAAGTTCATTACTCAAAAACTGAAGGACCAAGATACAAAGGACATCCTCACTGCAATCATAAGGAAGAAGGCGGCGACAAAAATCAACACTACAGAAGTGGCCAGTGTTGGAAAACACTGGAACAACCTGAAAGCGGTATGGAGTCAAACCTGCATGGAAGTTCTAGGCAGGAAACAGAGGCAGGATAAACAGTGGCTCACTACGGACACATGGAGACTAATAGAGGAGAAAAGGATGGTGAGACAAAAGATTATCCAGTGCATCAACGAACAACAGAAACAGTTGAATGTAAGTTACAATACACTGAACAAAAGATTAAAGAAGAGTGCCAGGAAAGACAAATGAAAATATTATGAAGCCATGGTAAGTGAAGCAGAACAGGCTGCAGGGAAAGGAGACCTCGCCACACTCTACCAAACAACTAGGTTCCTATCGGCCAAAAGTTCGACACACATTAAGCCAGTAAAGGATGGCAATGGAAAGTTAATCACCAAAGAGGTGAAGCAAAGGATACACTGGGCTGAACACTTCAAAATACTTCTAAATCGACCGCCACCTACAACGCGCCCGACAATACCAACAACGGAAGCAGAACTACCAGTGAACATTGACCCCCGATGAAATCAGAAGTCCTGAAGGCAATCAAGATGCTAAAAGCTAGAAAAGCAGCAGGACCAGATGGAATCCCAGCAGAAGCATTGAAAACGGACCCAAAGACAACAGCTGACTTGATGACGCCATTACTGGAAAAGGTGTGGAAAGAGAGCAAGGTACCTGAGAATTGGAAGAAAGGATACCTATTCAAACTCCCAAAGAAAGGAGACTTAAGTCAAAGCAAGAACTGACACGGAATTATGCTCCTGTCCAACCCAAGTAAAATACTAAGCCGCATCAACCTGGAGGGAATCAAACAAGCCAACCTGGATGAAAAACTTCGACCGGAACAAGCCGGATTCAAGAGAAACAAGTCATGTATTGATCAAATCGTTACACTACGGATCCTCATTGAACAAGGCTTGGAGTGGCAGTCACCTCTCTATCTCAACTTCATCGACTTTGAAAAGACCTTCGACAGTGTCGATCGAGAGGTGATTTGGCAACTACTTCGCTACTACGGGGTCCCATCGACAATTATACATGTCATCCAACAGTTGTACGACAATGCTGCATGCCAAGTAACCCACAACGGGAAACTTAGGGAAGCCTTCGAAGTGAGGACGGGAGTGAGGCAAGGCTGTCTACTATCACCAATGATCTTCCTGATTGCAGTAGATTGGATAATGCGATAGACAGCGGGCAGCAAGGAAACAGGCATAAAATGGACTCACACAAAAAACTTGGAGGATATGGACTTCGCCGATGGTATATGTCTGATTTCCCAAAAAATGTAAGATATGCAAATGAAAAGCAACAAGTTGACTGAAGAAGCATCAAAGATAAGACTTCAGGTGAACATAGAGAAGACAGTAATAGCAGCAACAACATACAACAATCAGGCAGCATAAATGGGAGAAATCTGAAAGAAGCAAACTCCTTCACCTACCTACCCGGAACTGACAAGGATGCAGATGCTTCGACGATGTTTGAGCATGTAATTAGAAGTTAATCGGAGGATGGTGACTGGCAGTGGAATTCAGGATGCGCATTCCGTCCTATTTCTTATCTGTCGGCCGGACACATCTGTATTCCGCAGTGGATGATGATTTTCCCACCGAGGCTCGAACCCAGTGCCCATAGTTTCAAATGCCAAAGCGTGTTCCACTACTACTTGGGCTATCACGAGAGCCACCTCTTGTGCAACGGGTCATATTAATTATCTAATTCAGTTTTAGATTTTTGCGTCGACTGATTGGACCAAAATACTCTATCTCAGGTGACTCTCGTTGTACAAATGGTCTAATGGATAACGCTTAGGCGTTTGAAATTATGGCCAATGGTTTCGAGCTTCGGCGGGACCATCATTACACACAGTGGAATGCAGGTGCATGCAGTTAATGAGTTACAAATGGGACGAAATGCACATCGCGTATTCAACTGCTAGTCACCGTCCACCAATTAACTTGTAATGAAATTTATTTCGAATAAACAAACTAAGTGGGTTTTATGTCAATTACAGAAGACCACGTGAATATGATGACTTTATTATTTGGTAGTTCCCGTTGGCTGATTATATTATTATTATTATCGACAGTAGACATCTCTTTGTTTTTTGAAACGACAGATGCTTGATTCAAGTCTTAGTGGGAAGGCTAACCGTCAATGAGGTACATTTACATTCACCTTATTAGTCTCAAATGGGATGAAAATACGCTCTCTGAATCTCATTGTTAGCCATCAGTAGCCGAATAACATGGTGACTTTGTGATGTTTTACTAGTCCATATTTTATCGTTTTTGGTCTACTTAAACCTCAATAAGTCACTGTCACACTGATTTACTGTATAAACACTAAGTGCATAAATTCCAGAGACACTTTAAGAAAATTGACGTCATCTAGATAACTTGATGCATTACTTACCAAGTAGTTGGCTTCAAATTGTGATAGACAACTTTCTAAGACTTGTTTGCACATTTCACGAAATATTTTGACATAAGATTCTCCAGCTCCTGAATTCACTTTGTAACTAAAATGATTAATATACAAAAATGTTTTCTTGTGATTTGACCATAGAAATTTAATTAAAGTGGTAATATTTCACTGAAGATTGTTCCTATAACACTAGGATAGATAGAAATGAATACAGTGATTATAAGGGCCTTGATCAAATTCCAAAGATCGACTAGAGCTGAAAAGGTCACACATGAGTGAAGGTGATTTACGAAACAAGAACCAATCGCCAACCGACAAATGTGCAGGAGAAAGTGGAGATGGATTGGACACTCGCTCGCTGAAGAGGCCGCTAGGTGACATCGCGCGCGCGTCAGGCCATTGCTCAAGTGGAACCAGGCCAAAAGGGAAGCGGCGAGTGGGACGTCAGTGCAAGGGTGACATGGAGGAGATCGTGTGAAGATGAATTGAAAGAGTATGAACTAACATGGATGGAGGTGAAAAGTACTGCAGGAGGAAGACAGAAGCAAGTGGAGACGTGCAGTTGAAGCCCTATGTTCCACTAGGAACCCAAGAGAACAATAATAATAATGCCTAAAAGACAAACCAAGTGGTAAAAACTGAAGGAAGGTATTCGTTACCTGGTAAGTTTTAATCTCCTTGGTTGGTGCAAATTACAACTAATAACCTGGAGGAGGCCGATAGAACTCTGAAGAGGTCGATTTATCGAAAGCTGTCATGGAAAGATCAACTGACAAATTTCTATAGCTGGGTACCCATCGGTTGAAAACGAAACGTGGTCAGATCGCTTGCCACTCGCACTCAGCGCACATGTAGCCCTGATACTGTCGAGGATGAGGAAAATCTTTTGACGAAAATCCTAATAGAAAAAGGACTTCCACCACGTTTTATAGACAGGAATATACATTCAAACCTATGAAACGTGACTTATCATCCGCACCAAAAACATACTGCACATGAGCTTGGAATTCAAAGGTGACTTAGCTTCGGATATCGTGAGAAGAAGGATATCACAGTCCCTGAAAAGAACATGCCCTGCTGCATCTCTGAGGATAGCCTTTACTAGTCAACCATTACTGTTCAATAACTTGAAGTATAAGATCCAGCTGTTGACCAACTCTATGTGTGTTTATCAATTCACCTGCTCGTGTGGAGCTAGGTATATCGGTCGTTCGACTCGAGTGTTGTCCAAGAGGATGCAAGAACACTATCCTGCATGGTAACGAATAGGTGGAAGTGGAGCGATAATGATCATCCTATCTCTACAGCCTCCGCTTTTAAAGTCATCTACAAAGTAAAAAGTAATTTACCGAAATCACTACGTACGCGACTCATCTGTATTGCTGAAGCTTTAGCTATCGAAACAGAAAAGTGAGATCTCTGTGTACAGAAAAAGTTCGTTCAACCCCTTCAACTTTCATGGTCTTAATCCCTCTAGGCTAAAGTATGGTAATCTCTAATCTTATTTTGGCTCTATTAATTTTTTCATTTTGTCTATTCAATTTGTATACTCTTTCTTTATTACATCAATTGTTACTATTACTATTCTCACTTTGAACTGTCACCGTTATTATTTCACTTGTTTTACTTGTCATTCTAAGTCAATTCTTTTTTACAACATTAAATTCTATGCTACTGAATTTCACACAACATTATATTTATATATCTCACTTATTATTATTGTTATTCCCTTGGATTTCAAGCAGAACATCGGACTTCAAAGGCACATCTTCATTTTGTCCTATTCTCAACAGTCCTGTTTCTGTGACCCCACGATTGTCCACAAGATTTCATCTCCTCCTCATATGACCTCTTCCATGTTACTCATCCTCGGACACACGCTGAACTGGTCATTTCCCATTCAGGTAACACCTGAGGACATGCCACTCGATGTTAGCTAACGGGTGCGGCTGATCCTTCTCCATCCACTTCTTTATATTTTGAGTAATCGGTTCTTGATTGGTTCAGTCCCAGAACTTCTCAGTGATAATTTTTTCTGGTCGGCCATCTGATCTTCAGTATGGAGACAGTAAAGGCAGCTGTTTATGTCAGTCTGCAGTTTGTTGCAAGTGCTTTTAGTGACGCAAACGCCAAGTCTCTGATCCATATTGAAAAAATGACTGATTTAACATTGGTGTTCAAAATCTAAATTTTGTTCTTTATGCTGAGTGCAGCAGATCACAGAGCTGATTTCATAATGGTGAATGTTTGTTTTGCCTTTCCGATTCTGGCTAGCTGTGCCATCCTCATCTATTCCGCCTGTGGATGACACGAAGCTGCCTGGTCACATAAATGAAGGGAGTGAGAGTGACTGGTACTTGTTTTTGTTCTTGGTGGTGGTGATGGTTGTCGGTGGGTATCTTCATTACCTTTCTATGTTCACCTGAAGTCTTGTCTTTCCCGTGAGATTCTTGTATCAACTTTTCGGTTCTCGGATTTATGTGACATCAGACATAAATCGCCTTAGAAGTTCAGATTCTCTGCAATCTTCGTATCGGCCCAACGTATTCCTGTCTTCTTGCTCTCCACACGCGGTATGTCACAAATTCCAGTCCACCACAGTTACGAGTATCATTGGTGATAGTAGTTAGCCTTGTCTTACTCCTGTCTTCACTTTAAACGCTTCGGTGAGTTTTCTGTTGTAGATTATCAGATACATGACATTGCCATAAAGCTGTTGAATGAGGCTGATAAAGATTTGGGGGCACTTACTGGTGTCACAGCAGTTTCCAGATTACTATATGGTCAACACTGGTGCATATTTTTTCAAAGTCGATGAAGTTAAGGTAAAGGCTTAACTGTCATTCTATGCTCTGTTAGATGATGATGCGTAGAGTTCAGATTTGGTCTACAAATAATTTGCTTTTCTTGAACCTAGCTTGTTCCGGGCACAGTTCTGCGTCCAGAGCATCTTTTAGTCTCTCCGCATCAGTGTGACATATATAGATATATATCATAGTGGTTTATTTGAACTGATGACTAGCTGATTTTTTGAAAGCATTTAAAGAGCTCGAATATGACTGTCAGATGAACCCTTGTCTTAGCAGAACCAATAACCTATGTGACTGTCTAGAGGTAATCTCATTGGACTTTTCCGCGTTCTGAAATTGTTTATAGCCTTAGGAATGATCCATGAGGATAAGTGATATTATAAAACAATACATATAGTCAACTGTATAACTTGTCAAAGTTTCACCCATGCAAATTGGAATCATTAAGTGAGGATTATTGTACGGAAGTATAGAAATAAACCTACTGTCAGCCCAGATAGACTTTACAGTAGCAACCAGACATTTTTGTAATCAAGGGGTCTGGATTATTATAAAAGGCCTATGACACTTGCTCAGCACAACCAACTTTCCCTATATTATTAGTAATCTTTGTTTAGTTAAATGAACTAAGGTTGTTTCTTGTCATTGTGTTTGCTCCAAATTTATCAAACCGAAGCACTGACCATGTCTGTAATTTTTACGCTTGCCTAAGAAACATGAATGAGACACAAAATCCCTCAGGATAAACCAACAGCACCAAGCAACTGTTTCCTCTTACATCATACAGATTCCTCTTCACATAGTAAATATTCTGACAGGTCAAAGTATTTAACTATTGTAAGATATCGTACATTCTTCAGTTGTTCGTCGTTTTACTTCTTTGCCGTACGATAGGGGAAATATTTTATCTGGAAACAAGTGAACCGACATGTTTATGGTTATAAATGCCATATGTACATACATACCAAGTGATTCAAAACGGAAACTTCATCGAAGCCTTTGAAGTAAAGATAAGAATAAGACTGACCACTGTCACCGGTGATTTCCCAACTCTGGTGGACTTGATTATGCGGCACAACATGTATGGAGAGTAAGAAGACAGGAATTGGTTTGACCGATTAGAAGACTGTGGAATATGTGAACTTCGTGGATTATTTATGTCTAATGTCACACAAACTCAAAGACCTACATGAGAAAGGCAACGGAGACAAGATTTCAGGTGAGCAGAGAGGAGACGGAAGTGAAGTAGGCAAACAACCAACCAACAATAACAAGTACCAATCACTATCAACGGAATAAATTTAAAATAAGTCACTTCCTTCAATTATGTGACCAGGTAGCTTCGCTTCAACCACAGGCGACAGCATGGATGAGGCTATCAAAGGCAGGATCGGAAATTCAAGACAGATTATATCACTCTGAAATCAGTTTTGAATTCCACTGTACTTAGCATATGGGAAAAGATTTGGGTTTCGAACACTTAAGTCACATCAGTCACTTCTTTCATATGGTTCAGAGACTTGACATGTGACCAAACCATCTCTAATAGGCATCATACTTTTATCAACGGCTGCCATTGCTGTCTCCATACTGAAGATCAGGTGACCAGTAGGAGAGGGTGAGCTACAAAAACTCTAGCAGTGAACCAACCGAGGACCTAATGTTCAACAAATATGCCGAAGAAAATGCTGACTGATATGACATACTCTGAGTAAACTGTCAGGTGAAATCGCTCACCAGGTCAATCCTCGAGTGGAACGGGAATGGAAAACGACTAGTTGGGAATGTGTTCTAGGGTTACTTGGATGAAATATTATGAGGAGGAGATGAGAACCTACGGGTAACTGTGAGGCCAGAGAAGGAGGATTTAAAGAGCAGGACAAAATGGAGGTGTGCTGGTGAAGTCGTTTGTTTTACTCGGAACCCAAAGGAATAATATATATATATATATATATATATATATATATATATATATATACAGAAATTGCTTTTGGTTTTAAGACCAATTAAATAACTAACTTTTTGTAAAGTAAATGAACTGGATTCTTCGATAGGGCATTTGCAAGTGCTTCCGTTAGGCATGATAGTACACGTTCTCTAGTTTCCTTATTACTCTGAAATTAGGTTTCAAAAATAAAGAAACATTTTGTGCAAAGGTGAATGTGGTAGGTTTATTAACAAAATACAGAAGTAAATAGATTTCCAAAAGTAACCTGTATTTGAAAAAAGTAACTCTTATATCTAAGCAAACATCTTATAACCATCGGTTTAATTACTTTCAGGGACTGTAGTTTATGGTATTTAAAATGACACTTTCCCAATGCTCCGTTCAAAGTTCACTTCCACGATCAAAGTTCACTGACATTTTCTTTAGTGATTCAAGGTAACGATTTGATGATATTAGATTGTTAGAGGCGATTGGCAGGAAGCCTTGAATTTAGGTTTCGTGATTGCCTCCAACCATCTAATATCATCACATCAATGTGCACCTTGATCGCGAGCTACCTAGAATGGTGGCCACAATGCAAACCTGACTGATAGAATTCAGTCTGCACCAAAGAGAGGACTAAACACATCACACTAGTTACCAGTGTCCAATCAACATAACTATTGTTATTACAACATTTTCAATCTCTATTTGCGGAAAATGTCAGTTTCCTCAATTACTATTACCTTATTGTTTTTATCCATTCCTCCTGTTTACTTTGTCAGTATTACTTTTTTTTAAATCCCTATTTGTCATCTTGTTAGTTCGACAGTCGAACACAAGTAGTTCTAGAATTTCCTTGCCCATCTATAACAAATACACAAATGTACATCCTAAATGATGACTTCATCGAAGAGAAAAATTTCCTTTGCTGCAACCGTCTTTTAATTTTGTCTGTGATTTAAAGTGTACATCCCCCAGTTTGAAGAATAGTAAGCACTGTGATGGTAAAGGAACTGAACAAGTTTCCACGTTGTCTGTCATGCTTGCTGAGGTAAATGTAAAGATTTCCTTCTTGAGAAGCATTCATACTGAGAAAAATTCTGGATGAATCTCAGACGGAATCATATATTCCCCAATTCATATACGGTAAAATAACACAACTTCAATCTCATTGATGCCGTCCGATCTAGATTATTTGAATTGGAACAGCACATCTCAAGAAACTTCCAGGTTCTCTATGATGGACGAACATTAATCGAGAACTACACCACTACAATTACAAAGAACTGAACAGATGATGTCATTATGAAACTAGGGAAAAGTCTGAAATCTTTTTACCACGGAAACAGTCTTTCTTTCTTGCCCTGAAAAATACGTGTCCAATTATTCCCATGTTTAACTATCACCCATTGAAATGCCGATATTGCCGATATGACAAATGATCCAGTTCCCATCTCATGTGACGATGTAGATCATTTCAAATCAACTAGATTACATTGATAAAAAAATCTAGCTTTTGTGATCGATTGTCCAAAGAACATCGAAATTAACTGAAGCAATTGAAGAAAATTGAAAACTTGATCATGACACGATTGGATAAAGGTTCTGGAACTGTCCTACGAAACAAACCGGACTATCTAGATAAATTCTCACTGATTCTATCTAATGACAGGAAATTTCAAAAACAGTCGCTTCAGGGAGATCCCAATTAGAAGACAGAATTACAGTTGATGAAAATACTGCTAATCAGATGAAAAAATTCGACCATCTGCTTCTACACTGCCATGCATCTACAGCCTACCCAAGGTATACAAACAAGACGTTTCACTCCACTTAATCTTAAGTCTCAGATCAGAACTTCGTTTCTGAAAAGCAGAAGATACTTCAAATTACTAATGAGATTTTCTGTTGACAGGCTGTCTGTTCTACAAAAGTCAATCAACAGCTTCATAACTCAACATATTATGAATTCTTTTCTATTACCGAGACAATTTTTCAGCATATTTCTTAAACTTTGGATAACTCCAATATATAATAAGTCAAAGGGTTCCACGAGAAACATGATAAGCTGACTATTCAACCAACCTAGAGACCTGTAAAGAAATGTCAATTTTATGGTAATGCTGTTGCGTGTAAGACAGATGTACTACAATTATCTTTTAAGGCACCACTGATGAAGCTGTTTAGTAGTTAGCGACATCAATGAATCGAATTTAGGATAAAACCTATAGTGCGGCCCGTGCTACTTACAATATTTATGAGTAGTATACAGATGCAGATATAAATATGTATATCAGTTGCAAGAATATCAAATAGCGGAGAGATAGATTTAATGAACGATGCTCGGGAAAAAACATGGAAAACAGGAAAGGAAGACAAAATAGCACAACATCGAGGATGTGTGCAAATGTTAATCCGTATATATGGTAGACATATTTTGCCTATACTTGTGTATCGAGTTGCTAATAAATAATTCCGTTACCATATATTCGCGTCTTCTGCCGTTACAATACCACTGTCATTAACATTTCATGTTTTTCCTTCATATAAAAGTATGAAATGTTATACAAAGCAAAGAAGTGAAGCAATTATTCGGCAGTTTCTTTAGCAACATTCTGAAAAAATTCGATTCTTTTCCCTATTGGGCGTGAGGCTAGCAACCCCACTCTGTAAACAAAACTGCTACAGAAACTTCAATACGATGAGTATCCTTACGACGAAAGAAAAAGTATGTGTGGTAACATGGAACATCCGCACTAAGTATGAGACTCGCAAAGTCACCTAGATTGAAATGAGGCGAAGAGGTATGGTAGTGAAGGACTGGGAATACGTGAAAGCAGATGGAATGAAAGTGGACTCACAAAATTGTCAACGGGTGAGTCAGTGATCCACTACGGTCACCCAGAAGACAACCACGAGCACATCAAGGGCGTGGCTATCATGATGTCACCAACAGCAACAAAGGCCCTGATGCAATGGGAGGCCATCTCGCCCAGGATAATGACCGCCAGATTCAACTCCAAAGGAAGGAAAGTCTCAGTTATACAATGCTATGCACCCACAAACAAGGCACACCTCGAAAGGAAAAAAGAGTTCTACAGATAACTACAGGTAACAGTGAACAATACTCCAGTCGGTGACATTAAAATACTAGTGGGAGACATCAACGCCAAACTGGGACCAGATAACACGGGAAGGGAACTCATCATGGGTAGAGATGCTCTCGGAGAAATGAATGAAAATGGAGAACTCTTCGCCGACTTCTGCGCCTTCAATGAACTAGTGATTGATGGAAGCGTATACAAACACAAAGATATCCACAAGGCTACATGGGTGTCACCAGATGGGCAAACCAAAAACTAAATTGACTTTATCTCAATGTCGCTCAAGGAGGTGGAGACGCATCCATCTGGACACAAAAGTAAGAAGAGGAGTAGACGTTGGCTCAGACCACTATCTCGTACAAGGGACAATCCAAATCAAATTAAAAACTTTCAGAGAAACAGGAGCTACAGGTACACCACAAGCCAAGTTCATTACTCAGAAACTGAAGGACCAAGATACAAAGGACATCCTCACTGCAATCATAAGGAAAAAGGCGGAGACATAAATCAACACTACAGAAGTGGCCAGTGTTGGAAAACACTGAAACAACCTGAAAGCGGTATGGAGTCAAACCTGCATGGAAGTTCTAGGCAGAAAGAAGAGGCAGGATAAACAGTGGCTCACTAAGGACACATGGAGACTAATAGAAGAGAAAAGGATGGTGAGACATAAAATTATCCAGTGCACCGATGAGCAGCAAAAACAGGAGTTGAATGCAAACTACAATACACTGAACAAAAGAGTGAAGAAAAGTGCCAGGGAAGACAAAAGAAAATATTATGAAACCATGGAAAGTGAAGCAGAAATAGCTGCAGTGCAGGCAAAGGATACCTCGCCACACTCTACCAAACAACTAGGAACCTATCGGGCAGAAGTTCGACACACATTAAGCCAGTAAAGGAAGACAATGGAAAGTTAATCACCAAAGAGGTGGAGCAAAGGATACACTGGGCTGAACACTTCAAAAGACTCCTAAACCGACCACCACCTACAACGCACCCGACAATACCAACAACGAAAGCATAACTACCAGTGAACATCGACTCTCCGACGAAATCAGAAGTCCTGAATGCAATCAAGATGCTAAAAGCTGGAAAGGCAGAAGGACCAGATGGAATCCCAGCAGAAGCTTTGAAAATAGACCCAGAGACAACAGCGGACTTGATGACGCCACTGCTGGAGAAGGTGTGGAAAGAGAGCAAGGTACCTGAGAATTGGAAGAAAGGATACCTATTCAAACTGCCAAGGAAAGGAGACTTAAGTCAACGCAAGAACTGGCGCGGCGTCATGCGCCTATTCACACCAAACAAAATACTAGGCCGCATTATTCTGGAGAGAATCGAACACGTCGACCTGGATGAAAAACCTAGACCGGAACAGGCTGAATTCAACAAGGACAAATCATGCATCGATCAAATGGCAACACTACGAATCATCATTGAACAGAGCTTGGAATGGCGACCAGCTCTCTACCCTAACTTCATTGACTCTCAAAAGGCCTTCAACAGCGTCGATCGAGAGGTGATTTGGAAACTACTTCGCTGCTACAGGGTGCTGTCAACAGTTATACATCTCATCCAACAGTTATACGACAATGCTGCATGCCAATTAATCCAAGACGGGAAACTCACAGAATCCTTCGAAGTGAAGAAAGGGAGTAAGATAAGCTGGCTGCCTACTATCTCCAATGATTTTCTGATTGTAGTAGACTGGATAATGCGACAGACAGCAGGCAACGAAGAGACAGGCATATAATACACCCACACAAAGAACTTGAAGGACCTGGACTTCGCCGATGGTATGTCTGATTTCCCACAAAATGGAAGATATGCAAGTGAAAAGCAACAAGTTGGCAGAAGAAGCGTCAAATATAAGACTTCAGGTGAACATAGAGAAAACAGAGGTGATGAAGATTCCTGGCCGACAGCAACAACAACAGATAACAATCAGCATAAATGGGAGAAATCTGAAAGAAGCAACCTCCTTTACCTACCTACCTGAGGAACATTGTTTCAACTACAGGAGGAACTGACGAGGATATCAGAGCGAGGATCAGGAAAGCAAGGCAAGCATTCATCACTCTCCAGTCTGTTTGGGGATCGACAGCACACTTAGTGTGAAAAATAAGATCGGGATTTTCAACTGCAATGTGAAGTCAGTGCTACTACTATAAGGATCACAGACTTGGCACCGCACTGCGTCATGTAGTACATTTCGAAAAAACCACAGACCTTTATCAACAGCTGTCTTCACTCAATACTCAGTATCAGATGGCCAGAAAGGATCAGAAACAGAGAGCAAACCATCCAAGCAGGAGCTAATTGTGCAATAAATATGCAGGAAGAAATGGAGGTGTATCAGCCATACTCTGAGAAAATAAACTATCAAGTGACATCACACGCCAGCCTTTCTCTCGGGTGAAACACGAAGGAGAAACAGCGAGTTGGTCGTCAGGGCGAAAGTGACATGGAAGACATCATACGAAGAGGAGATGAAAGCATTTTGGCAGACGTGGGGCTAGGTGAAAACGTTTGTGGAGAGCCGAACACAATGAAGACATGCGGCTGAAGCTCTATTTCCCTCTAGGGATTAAAGGAAACGATAATAATAATAGTCGTTCCTTAGTTTTCATACCTTCCTACCATGAACTCTTTCCTGTTTACTAATATAAGCTAGAAACAATCCCACACCTATGTATTAAGGTCAAAGAGAGCGATAATAATGAGTAGCACAGAGAAAAAGACGGTATCATGCTATGGAAGCGACGATAGCTGTATGGCTGGACGATAACTGCTTATTCGGTAGAGTCTTATAATGAGCTTATAAACTAATTAACTAACGCTTGACCACTTGTCTCAGTATTATTACTCACAAAAAAAAACAAATACAGAAAAGGATGGTGTATGCTTGCTAAGCGACAGGAGCAGCTGGCTTACTAAAAATTAGCCCAAGATATGTAAAAGTTCACTGACAGTACCGCAGAGTACAATTTTTATTATTTCAATTCTTCGCCACCCGAGTGCAACATATACCGACTTCAAGTTGGAGCTTTGAAGTTTCAGTAGCAGTGGTGTTTATTTTTTTTACGGGGTTGGACGGCTAGTCTCACACACACCAAAGCCCTTTCCCTCTTTACACGGCTTACTATCAGTTAAGCGAAGTTAAGGAGAGTGTCGGCCGAGGATCAAACCTCGAATCACGTGAGGCGTGGTTGGTGATTAGTCTACCAGTGAACCATCGAGTCAAAGGACGATGCTCATTCTGAAACCAACAACATATCATGATACACTAGAGTACTAACGCCAAACTTCAACGGCGATTACATCCAGACTAAAGCAATCCACAATGAGAAATCTACTCCAGACTAGCTGAAAACTATGCCCAAAGCATTGATGTAAGAAAACAAAATAAATTAACAAAGCAAAAATCTATAAACTGTCATTATTTAATAGATTGATAAGACTCAACTACATGGATACACATTCTTCAAATCAGTAGGAATTAAAACTAAGAAAAATAAACTGTACCACAAAGGCAAAGCAAAATCTACAGTGAAGAATGAAGCGTCAAGAAGCAGTTCATTTTTTTTTAATTCATAAAAATATAACTGCAAAATATAAAAGTTAAAGAAAAATACACTGATCTCTCATAATTTGTTAAAATACACAAGATTAAAAAGCGGGAAAGATAAACAGAGATCGTTGAACATACAAACATATATATACAACCCATAGTAAAGGGAGAACTGTTAGCAAATCAGTATAAGCATATTGCTAAAATAAAAAATAACAAGTGACCGGAAAACAGAAAGAAAAAATACCGCTAAATGCTTTTTTCTTCGCACAAAACTATTAGGCGAAGAGGCAAACTCTACTACTACGACTACTAGTAGTGGGGAAAATACTCACAACAGGACTGTCGTTGAACAACTCCAAGCATGCGATATCCTTTAGATGAATAATATTATGATTTAAACTGAATGAACGACCCAAACATGAAATCGCTAGGTCAGCGAAGGAAGAAATTGAAGATGCTGATTGATGTAGATTTGGTTCAAAAGAATGCAGTTTTTGGATAAAATCTTCACATAATTGATGATAAACCTTTATTAAGGGAAGGAAGAAAAAACATTATAGAGAATATGTAGTATCAGAAATATAATAAATAAATGTAAAACCGATGTTTATTGAAAAGCCCAAGAAAAATATAGAGAATTCGCATAACACAACATCAAACAGTGGAACTAAGCGTTTGCAGTTTACTCTGATTCGTAAAAATAGACATTTCATGCACGCTGTAACATCACTTAGAAAACCATTATAAACTAAGAAGTACTGAACAGTTGTTTTATTCTGCTCGGCAGTTCGCTCCATCCTCCTTTCTGACTGTGAGACCTGGCCACTGAGAGTAGAAGACATGAAAAGATTAACTGTCGTTGATCATAGGTGCCTGCGCTCTATCTCCCATGTGAAGTGGTATAATAAGGTGAGCAATATGAAGGTGAGGCATCGGTCGAGTGCTAGGTAAGGAGGAAGGGGAAATCAATCGATGAGGCTGTGAAACTACATCGACTGAGATGGTTAGGACATGGTGTTACGTATGCCTAGTCATCGCCTTCCTCGACAGACGGGCAATGTTAGCTGACATAGGGTCAGGTTGGATAAGAGCCAGCGGTGGTCAAACCAAAACATGGCCTCATCAGTCAATAAAATCCACAACAGTTAGTTTAAGCCAGCCAACCACATAGGAAGGTGTAGACTTCTTGGCTTGTTGGGACCCTCGGGAAGGTAAAAACCAGTGGCTGGAAACAGTTGGTGATATGGCTCAAAATCGTTCTCGATGTCAGGAGGAGATGTATCCACTCTTTGTGACTTATAATACCCAATAAAACTATATTTTTCTTCGATATTACTATTCTTTTTGCCTCATATCTCTGTTTACTGTCTCTGTTTTGCATTCCTTTTTACTTTTTCTCTTGCTTTGTGTGCTACATGGAGTGTGGCCATTCGAACTGCTGCATATCTGCGCGAAGTTCTATGTTGAAACCAGTCAGTCAGTTTCATTCTAGTGTGCGCCCACGACCCCATCGGGAATCGAGATCAGGACTTTCAGGTTATGAGGCGAGCCTGTTAACCCTTCAGCCAAGAAGAAGGGAACCAGTGGACTGTGAATTCTAATTTCCACAGATGAAGAGCTTCAAAATAAAGCAAAATGCTGTCAAATATTTTCTAGTTTATAACGGTCATCTTTAACTCATGTCGATGTGGGATCTAACTGCGAATCAACAGAATCTCTGCAGAACAAACGCTTAAAAAATGAAGATAATTAATGAGTATGAATTATAATGAATAATAATCCTTGATTACGCAATGTAATCAATGTAATTTAAGAATTAACCTTCACGATACGAGTAATAACAACTTAGATTCTCTTCAAAGAAATAGAGAAATGCAGAATCATCTCTTATAGAATACCTATTTACTCAACAAACATCTCTCTAAGCAGCACAACTCATATTAGAAGATCGAATGTCTTTTCAAAGAAGAGAAGAAACAACTCCATTTCAAAGGGAACAGATCGCAGGGTTAATTTGTGTTACAAAAACGACAATGAATTCAGCAAGCGCCTTGTCTGTCCAAAAGGGTATCACATTTCGTTGTAAATGTCGATATCTGAACTTTGGGAGCAACAATAAGAATAAATGTCAGGGAGAAAGAAATGTAACATGGAAGGACCATAGGATATTAGTGGATATGACAGATCACAAAAAGTGAATGCATCAGCGTCACTGAGAACGATTTCGAGCCATATCATTAATTGTCTCCAGTCATTGGTTCTTAACATCACCAGGACTCCAACTGGACCATCGAAACCTCCCTAAGTGACTGGCTCAAACTAACTGTTAAAGATTTCATGGACTGACTTGATTTGACCACCACTAGCTCTTTCCCAACCTCATCCAATGTCAGCTAACATTGCCCGTTGGTCGAGGAAGACGATGAGCTAGACAGGCATGACTAACACATGTCCTAGCCATCTCAATCGATATGGTTTTCAGGGTAAATTGATTGACTTTCCGCCCCCCACCCCCATCTAATACACCCAACGCATAGCCTCAATATTACTCACCTTAATATAACACCTAACATGGAAGATAGGATGCAGAGAGCTATGATCAAAGACAGCTAGCCTTTTCATATCTTCCATTCTCAATGGCCATGTATAACAGTCATAAAAGAGGATAGAGCGAACCGCTGCTGTGCAGTACATACGTCCCTTGATATACAACCGGATATCATGTCTACGCCAGAGCTGACGTAAGTTGGTAAGTGTCACACGAGCCTCTTGTATCAGTGCTGGGATTTCGTCAGCAACCAGCGCTCTAGAGCTGATGCAACTTCCCGAATAAGTGGACCGGTCAACGCGCCCTGCGACTTCATTCCCTATCCTAGAGGTAGGAGTCACTATAGTCCAGTCCTGTAGCCTCATCATCCTATATTTCCATGCCAAACATATGAAGACTACTGCTCAAGACATTCAGAAGACTCTGCTTTTTATCACTGTCTTCACTTAGGAGGACTATATGAACCGCATATTCTAAGTCGACAAAATTATTTCCTGGTAACAAGTGAATCTCTTAAGTCGTTGAAGTCAGTTAGGTTCAGTTCTCATCAAGTCTCCAGACACTGAGAAACTAACATAAACATAGTAGAATGTAGTTTCACATTATCTTATAGTCAACAAACAATCGCTTAAACCACTAAATTAATTTTCTTTTCTATTCAAAGACAAACTTTCACCAACTAAAGAAAAGAATCCAAGTCATCATCATCTTGAAAATTCTTATTTCCACTGTTAAGATATTTCGCCCACATGAAACATAACACAAATATGATATTAGAACAAGACATATAAGCGAACAATATTGTTTTCAATTAATCTTCTTCAGGCTTTACTCTAATTTACATAGATTTATATTTAAAAAATTTTAACCAATGACGGTGATTTTGTGGATCAAATAATAATAATAACAATGTACCGCTTATGGAAACTGTGTAATTCATATGCCAACAGATACTAGAAAAACAGTTCGACATCGGAATTCCAGTTATTAGTCTGAAAGAGTTGCTTTTAAGATGTACTATGAATATACACTTCCCATTCAACAACCTTTATTACAGACAAATCGACGGCATTGCAATGGGTTCTCCATTGGGGCTAATTTTGGCAGATTTCTTTCTGCCTAAGGTGGAAAATGGTCCATTGAAACAAGTAATACATAAAACTGATTCTTATTTTCGCTATGTTGATGATACGTTTATTATTCTTGATGTGAAAGCTGACAAGAATGAAATGTTAATAAAATTTAATGATACACATCCATCGCTCATATTCACTTGTGAAGAAGAACATGATGGTAGACTAGATTTCCTTGACGTTCAATTGAGCAGAAGAGAGGATGGTTCAATCAAGAGAGATATCTATAGAAAACCTACATCCGTAGGACAATATACACATCTCCTCAGTTTCGTACCAATCCGATACGAAGTCAATTTGGTCAGATGCCTCACGAATAGAGCAAGACGTATCTGTATAGATGACTCCCTAGAAAATGAGCTAGGATACATCCAAAATACGTTGGTCCAAATGGGTTATCCGAGTAGATATGTAAGGAGACACATGAACACCAAGTTCAATAAAAAGAAACTGACAACAGTTGAAAAGAAACAACTGTTCATGAAATTGCAATTTAATGGGGACGTCGCTAGAGAAGTCTTACATCTGAGATTATCGAGAGCAAAAAAAGGGACTTATACCGCCACCACCCTTTGTTTGTTGTTTTCCAGCTGACCAATAATGATTGTTTAAGCAAAAGACAAGCTACCTAGCTGTACCACGTCTATGTCTATCTATAAATTTAGTTGCTCCTATGGAAAGAGCTATATAGGGCGAACAACTAGACAGCTTAACAAAACGCATTAATGAGCATTTTCCCTCATGATTCGGAAAAGGTCAAATAAAATCCATACGAAGTTCTATTTTGGCTCATTTGATTGATAGTGGTCACCAAGTGGACAAAAATAGTGCTTTCAAAGTTATTTACCGCATTCCATCGAGTCTTTCAAACGGAATCAGAACCCGTCTTTTACACTTAGCCGAAGCTATGAGAATTCGAGAGAACAATCCTAGTTTGTTCTACCTTTATCTCTCCCTTGGCCTAGGTGAATTCTATTCAAAACCCTCCCACCCTTTCTTATCATCCATCTCCCTCGTACTTTTATGACATTTATTTAAACTCTGATTATCGTTCCCATTTGATTTGACCTAATTTATTTATTTATTGAATTGTCTACATATATGCATATCTAACTTTGTTATTCTTATCACCTATATAAGCCTTATTAACAATATTTTGTTATTATTATAATCATCGTTATTAACTTCGTTCAAAACATTTACCACATTATTATTATTATTATTATTATTATTATTATTATTATTTGATCCACAAAATCACCGTCATTGGTTAAAATTTTTTATGTATATATCTATGTAAATTAGAGTAAAGCCTGAAGAAGATCTAATTGAAAACAATATTGTTCGCTTATATGTCTTGTTCTAATATTATAAATGGGAATATTTAAAGATTTGAAATATGATATTTGTGACAATTTATTTCAAAAATCATTTCATCAAAAAACAAAACTAGTGTACACAAAGAACTAAGGCAATACAACTTTTATAAGTTCATGAGGGAGACTCGAGTTTTTCGGGTATCGCACTATCAGTCACACATATTTTGTATAAAGGTTGACGACATCACCACCACCACCTAGTAATAAACCCAGGATGAAGTAGAAGCAACGAGATTCAAATCCAAAACTCATTGCCTGAAAGCCATTTTTGCTTAAACACCTGTGAGTCACATCTCCACAACTTAGTACGGAGCGGAGACTGTTATCCCCGACCGAAAGCTGCTACCTTGACGTGGTGGTCGGGCTTGAACACCGCAATGATCTACTCAAGCTATACTGGCTGAGACTTATGTCTCTTGAGGTCTACCATGCCAGAAAGGTTGTTTGGATAGCGGTTAAACAAAAAGCAGCTACCCAATCCAACATCATGACCAATACAAAATCACAAAATTTCATGCCGGATCGGCCGTGGCCCGGATTAACAACGACCGCGCTTCCTGCTGCCGTGTCACAGGGCAGGAGTGATAAATCTGCTACTGAGGCACGCCAAACAAAAGAGAACGAACAAAAACAGGCCGCGTGTGACCGGCCTCAAGCAGTTGTCCCCTGGGCTCTGCGGTCACGCAACCAACTTCCACGGTGTGGGCAGCCGGGAAGTAACAATCGCCCTCACAATCCGAAACAGGAGACCGTTATCAACTGAATAAAAATTGTCAGAAACTCTGTGACCAGTTAGTCCATCAATCTATTAGAGGTGTAACATTTAAACCATCTGATAAACAGGTTTAATGGTGTGTCAAATAAAACAACCTCATTCTATGATTGTATAAAAATTGAAATTATGCAGAACACACTTACTCTATGCCATAATGATTCTGGCAATAGACTGTCACGGTTTAACATAGTTATTAAAAAACTGTAATGCTTTTTTCGTTGTATATTATTTGACTGCATTGGCAATGAATTATTCGCATTTGACAGTCCATTGGAGACAGTTTTATTGTTGACGGCTGCAGTTGTGGTAATGTGTTTTAGTGACTTCTTTTGAAACTTTTGAGAATGAGGAGTGTTAATTTTGTTGTTACCCTTGTTGTTGTTGTTGCTGTCATTATTACTGGGCGGTTGTGTCAACTTATTTTGATTTGAGGAATAATTTGCAGTTAAAAGATAATAGGCCAAATTTTTAAAGTTGTCCGATGACATAATTACTGGGAAATTGGAGAAAAAAATAGATACAATACAGATAACTAAGGAGTGTTACAAAGTAAAACAACAAAATCCACTCTGCAATATATATATATATATATATATATATATATATATATATATGCCTATTACTACAAAGACAATATATTTAAGTGTTGGTTTGTAGGTATTTGATTGATTGGTTACAGGATTACATCATAAGCTGACATCGGTCAGAGAACCACTGGAAAACTTGGGAGTACTGGACAGCTGTCTCGTTCTAGTTTGAGACCCTTCAGCAGTACGCATCCCCCAGGGTTCGAACCTAGGACCTCCTGGTTACAAGGCAAGCCTCGCAGACTATCAAGCCAATGGGACCCGGTCCAATGGCCAGTGTATGAATTCCAACTTCTGCCAATTCACCAGTTAGCGCGCGACCACTAGCCACTGGCCCTATTCAGGTAGGTAGTTACCTGGAGTCTTATTAGTGGGAAGTCGTGACCGGTAGGGTACAGCAGGTTGGTTATGAGGACAAATACTTGCCGAAGACATTGGCTAGGGGTCGCGCTATGTAGTGAATTGTGGCTGTTGGATCGGGTCCCATTGGCTTGATGGTCTACGAGACTCGCCTTGTAACCAGAAGGTCCTAGGTTCAAAGCCTGAGGGATGCGTACTGCTGAAGGGCCTCGAACTAGAATGAGACAGCTTGTCCAGTACTCCCAGGTTTTCCAGTGGTTCTCTAACCGATGTCAGCTCATGATGAAATCCCATGACAAAGACAATATATGCTAAACAATTGGCCACGGTTTAGTAACACCAAAGAACGATGTGAATATCGAGCACCTACAACTACTGATCGATAAAGAACGTTTTCCCTGCTTTTGGTCGGTATCACTGCATTATCTGGCCTAAATGGCTTTGGCGTCTCACTAAGAGCTAGGACCGAAAGTGAATTACTCGAACGATATCTTGCGAATATGGCCCATTGTGTTTTGTTACACTGGCATGCTCAGCTAAAGTAAAACCTCGTTAGCCAGACAAAATGAAAACCCAACACTTTTTATTAATAAAACACAATGCTTCATGGTCAATTAACACCGATCAAACTTACAAAGAGGAGGTCCGAAAGTGTCTTCAAGTGATAAGGTGTCATGAAGCAATAAAACAAGATCAGCTTAGTTGTGGCGCTTTCGAGACATGTCAGCAAGACTAATCAAGGGACTGACTAAATTTTTTTGATAGCGTACGGCAGACCTAAAACATCTCGCTGTTCTAGAATTAGGTTACTTAATGTACGTGACAACCAATGGTGCATTGATCGATCTACTATCAGTCTTTCCAAAAATATATGCTGTTATTACCCTAACCAACTTTGTGTGGTAAGCCTATTTGCAATCAGTAAACTGAATTTTGTTCGAGTTGCGCAGATGCACTGATCGTATATAATTAACCCTCTATCAGTTGTTCGAACATTTTCAAACATTGTTTAATTGAATTTTGGATTTTCCCATCGATTGATTGGACCGAAGGGCTCGGTCTCAGGTTGACATGTCGGCTTCGACGATGTCTGAGCATTTAATTAGTATTTAATTGATGCATGGTAACTAGCAATAGAATCCAAGATGCGCATTTCGTCCTATTTGGGACTCGTCATCTGGTTGTACCTGCATTTCTCAGTGAGTGATGATGTTTCCACCAAGGCTCGAACCCAGTGCCCATAGTTTCAAACGCCAAGAGGTGGCTTTCGTGGCCAAAGTGGTCTAGTGGATAACGCTTTGGCGTTTGAAACTATGAGCACTGAGTTCGAGCCTCGGTGGGAACATCATTACTCACTGAGAAATGCACGTAAATCCAGTTGACGAGTCCCAAATAGGACGAAATGCGCATCTTGGACTCCACTAATAGTCACCATCCATCAATTAAATATTTTCAAACATATTTCACAGAAAGACAATCTCTCCAAACTTATTGATATTTGTTGAACACGACCTATAATTAAGGAAATGTCTTTTAGAGACGGGAACCCCTAAGAACTTTACCTGGTATCTTAGAAACTCAATAGGATAGGATAAAACAATTTTTTCCCCCCTAGAATTGGGGCAAATTAAGACTGCTAGTTCCAACGCTTACCTTTACCTTTGCCATCGATGATGTTTTGAAATCATTTTGAAAGGTATGTGGTGGAAGTGAATATTTTTGCGGAGACGTCTTGTCCTCTGAAAAGAAGACTCTTTTCTTTTCTGCATTCGAGGTTACACATACATATTCTGTGAAAAAAAACCTAAAACTACCTTGTGTTTCTTTTTTCTACGAAACGAACTATATGATAACCAATGTCGCTACAAGTCCACTGTACAGACTGAAATCTATCAGCCAAGTTCACAATTTTACCACACTAACCATATCCGTTCGCAAAGACCAGTAGTACCAATTAATTCTCGTTACATCTAGAACGTTTGGTACAACCAGATAGTTTCCCAGTGTTACTTTGTAGGGATTTTATTTGTTTCAAGTTTGATCATAAGCTGACATCACAGTTGGAGAACTATTGGAAAACCTGCAAGGAGTACTGAACAGCTATTTCGTCCTAGTTTGGAACTCTTCATCAGTGCTCACCTACTACGGTTCGAACTCAGTACCTTTCACAGTTACAAGGCAAGCTGGTAGACCATTCAGGCGCTGAGATACAATCCAATGGCCCATGGCGATTGTTGGTAGAAACTGTGACTCCCTAATGATTGACCTTTTAACGACTGGTATTGCGGTTTAGTCAATTTGTAAGCGAAAGAAATAATGTTTTTGTTTAAAAACAACAGACTTACAAATTACAAAAGGTATATCACCAAATGACTGATCAATTTTTTTATATGGTTGGAATTTCTAAGGCGAAACAATAATTTTCTGCTGAATTACGATATCGATTTTCATGTAGAACAGTCTAAAACAAGAAGTGAAATACACATGTGTAAATATCAACTTTTAAGGATTCATCATACTATACTCAAAAATATATGTACCAGTGTGTAGTAACAATTACTGAGGGACAATCTGACTTTCACACTAACTCACTTCAGAGACTCAGGGATTGACTTGCTACCAGGGAATAATCTCGTTGACTTAGAAAATGCAGACGATATAGTCCTTCTAGGCGAGGACGCTGACAAAATCCAACAGAGTCTTCTGAACACCTTGAGCTGCGATCTACGAATGTTTGGCATGCGATTCGCTCCCATAAAATGTAAGATGATGTTACAGGACTGGAATACACTGCCTCCTAGTTTAGAAATAGGAAGTGAAGTGGTAGAACACGTTGACCGCTTCACTTATTTGGTAAGTACCATCAGCCAGTGCCAACGGGTTGATCGCTGACGAAACCTCAGCACGGATACAGGGGCTCGTTTCGCATACGCCAGTTTACGCCGTCATCTGGCGCAGACGTGATATCCAGCCGGCTATCGACAAAATGGCGGGTGTACTGCCCAGCAGTCCGCTCCGTCCCTCCTTCATGGCTGTGAGACCTGGCCACTGAGAGTAGAAGACATGAAAAGATTAACTGTCGTTGATCATAGGTGCCTGCGCTCTATTCCCATGTGAAGTGGTATAATAAGGTGAGCAATATGAAGGTGAGGCATCGGTCGAGTGCTAGGTAAGGAGGAAGGGGAAATCAATCGACGAGGCTGTGAAATTACATCAACTGAGATGGTTAGGACATGTGTTACGTATGCCTAGTCATCGCCTTCCTCGACGAGCAGTGTTAGCGGATATAGGGTCAGGCTGGAAAAAAGCTAGCGGCGTTCAAACAAAAACTTGCCACCAGTCAATGAAATCTACAACAGTTAGTCTAAGCCAAGTAGTAAGGTGTAGACTTCCTGGTTGGGGTCGTCGGGACGGTAAAAATCAGTGGTTGAAAACAATCGGTGACATGGCTCGAAATCGTTCTCAATGTCAGGAGCAGATGCATCCACTCTTTGTGACTTATGATTTCCGAAGAAACCGTTTTGTTCTTCGTTATTACTATCCCTTTGTCTCACTTCTGTGTTTACTGTCTCTATTATGTTTTTCTTGTACTTTCTTCTCTTGCTTTGTGTGCTACATGGAGTGTGGCGACTTGAACTGGTGCACATCGGTGCAAAGTTCAATGTCGAAAACAGACAGACAGACAGATGTAGTGATAATTACTGAGGGACAGTTGGACGGCAGTGACAAACTGTTACCTGAGTTAACTCAGGTATTCGATAATGTTCAAGGATTAGAGATAATTCCGCTAGACTGTTGTGAATCATTGATCATCCCAGTCTACAAGAAAGGGGGCGGGGCAAGTCTTCCTGTGATATTCACACAACGAATAACCTTGACTAATATAGTATCTAGAGTTCTAGGTTCAATGATCAATCGCAGACTAATTAGTGACTCGAAGAAACAAACTCGAGGAAACTAGTCAGAGGGTATATCATTGATCATATCTTCACCCTTAAACAGACTCAAGACCATGGGCATACTTACCAACGTTCAACACCTGTCATATTTCTTGATGTGAAAGATGTACGTGTCAGTGAAGTTTTGAACGACGAAATCAATAGTAGGCAAGTTAAAACCTATTAATATAAACTATGCCAGAAGACCTAGGTTAAAGTAAGAGTAGGGACTTTAGCACTATAGTCGAGTGTGATTCATATGAGGTATGTTTATGTGATACAGCATATAGTGATACTGGATGACATCTTAGACACAATTTATTTCCCTTGATCATATTCTTAACGTGACATCCATGTCGAGAGTGGAAAACTGCGATTTTCTTAACTACAAACATCGGAAAATTCACAAAGTCAATAAAAACAACGCTTATGTATCTTGCTCAAAACTAGTAACTTTTATTGGTCTTTGTACTTTCTTTTCCTGCTTTATGGTGTTTTATTTGTACCTTATTTTGTGTTTCCTTTATGTTTAGTGGTTTATGCCACAATAAATCAGAAAACAATGATAAGCATGGGCACTTATTTATCACTTCTCTCAACACATATATTGACAAATGAACTGTAGTCAAGATTTGACAGAATGGTTCTAAGACATTTGGGCGCCGAGTGAGAAGTAGACATTTGTAAAAAATTATATTTGTAAAATCTCAGCGATATTGAAATGAGTAATTCCAACGTTTCCTCCGTTCGGCAATCTGGTCCAAACTTCTTCAGCGAAATTAATGGAAATTAACATAACAGAGGTTTATATATAAAAGGAACATCTCTTGTTTTTAAAAACTTTGTCCAATCATGATTTATAAAACAAATATTAACAAGTATAATAAAGAAAATTGTACGAGTTGTGATCAAAATTCGACCTCAGACTTACAAATATTGATCTACCCTTGTTAAACACTTTAAGCACAGTGTGTATGTATGTGTGTGTGGATAAACAGTGGTAAAAGAATGTCTTAACGTCTCCATAAGTAGATATAGACAGTCGGGAACTTTGACCAACTATTAGTTAGTGATATATATCCATTCTTATTTATTAATCAGGAGTTCCTATGCGTCATCTAACATCACACCTCCATGTCTGTTCAAACTGTTAGTATCTAGAATTTTATGATTAGACGTATTTTCAAAATTGTGGTGTTTAGGATTAGAGTTTAGTTGAACAACCCCGTCAAACTTATTACTTTGTCTTCTTTCTGAAAATTGAGCTGCATTATTCGACCTACTGAAGTTGTCAGGTGACTGGACAGCTACGAATTTAAGATACGCATTCTGTTGCAGACAACGGAGAGTGGAAACACGATGATTGTGCCAATTACATAGTTTCTTTGTTAATTTAATTCGATTACAAAATAAATCAAATGAACTGTAGTCAAGATTTGACAGAATAATTCTACAATATTTGGGGGCCGAGTGATACTTGTTAATACTTGTTTTATGACTCATGATTGGACAAAGTTTTTAAAAACAAGAGATGTTCCTTTTATATATAAACCTCTGTTATGTTAATTTCCATTAATTTCGCTGAAGAAGTTTGGACCAGATTGCCGAACGGAGGAAACGTTGGAATTACTCATTTCAATATCGCTGAGATTTTACAAATAAAATTTTTTTTACATATATTGACAGTTGATTGAGTTCAATTTAACGAAAATAGCCACAGCGAGGCTAATAACACTGTACATAAGAATCGAACGAAAGGAGGAAGATTTGTTCACTACGCCCGTACGGATTCAACTCCCAATAAGCGCACTCCTAGACCTTGTGTCGCCAGCTTACTAGCCGCCGGTAGGCCCAGGAAAGAGGGGAGGTTAGGCGAGATGGCTAGCAACCCTACTCCGTTAAAACAACACCACTACGATCGAAAATCCAAAAGCTTGAAGTCATTTATTCCACTCGAAGAGCAAAGATTAAAGAAATCCGTCCAAGTTTGAAACCTATCTAAACTTTTCTCTCTCTTTTGGTGTGACTGTGTTCTTCGACTTGGATGATTTAACCACGAAACTTTCAGTGTGAATCTAGACACCTTCGGCGCCTATCTTAATGTGATTTAGGCATTAAATTGCCCACTACTAGAAAATACGAACTGAGAGCATTAAAATGTTATCTATTATGGATAATGCACCCATCAAGATATTAAGAAAACATAATAAATACTTACTAGTGAAGAAGTTCTACAGACTGCAGAACAAAATTCAAATGCATCCGTAGCTAACTGTAGATGTCGTCTGCTGTTAGCATTGGTATTTTGAATAACTTGATTCCACAGAGATTTCTGGAATAATTTATGCAGATGAAAAACAAAAACCTTTTATGTAACTTGACAAAAAATTGAAACTAATCTTGCTATAAATGGATTGAAAATATTTTCAAATGTATGACAGAAGTAGGCCTACATTGGCAAATGTGACAGGAACCAAAGGCTATATTTAGATCAGCTATGGGTTTCTGTAATTTACCGGAAATTTTTGTATAGATCTGAGTGTTTACAGAGACATGAAAAAATAAATAGTATTTTTAATAAAATGCTGATGTTTGAAACAACTTGCGCCACCTACTACATTGTTATAACATTCATCAAACTATTGAAGTTTCCTTGAGCCCTGCTTCACATATGAGTATGACCCCTGTGTCAGTTACCTAGAGCTCTCTTACCTGCTAACAGGTTATGAGCCACACACCGTGTAAGTGTCGATGATACTACCCAATTGCCCAGGCTGGGACCCAGTTAGCAGGGAGTCGAGTGTTTAAGCCAATGAACCACATTTTCCCTACGTATTTAATCAATTATGTCTTCATCAGGCAAACTAAAACTCATCACTATTTTTAAACCCAGTAAAATTCATGATTGAGCACATAAACCAAATTTGTAATATCACTTTTATTGACTAAGTTACATTTTAAGCATATGCTCTTTAGGAATTAAGAAGCCGTCAACTTAGTGATGTCAAGCATATACAATTACACAAAGCAGATTGTAAACATCCATCAATTTGCTTGGCCGATGTAATTAATCATCAGTTACTTCTCCGTATTTTGCCAAAAGGAAAAGGTGGGTAATAACTGAATAGGCTATTAGTATCACAAAAGGATACGATGGTGGTTGCATTGAAGAAGAAACGGGTGTTAGCTTTCTGAACTCATGAGGAAACCAACATTTACGTTTAGAAACTAGGAAAAACATTGAGAAATAGCATGTATGTACACATGCTTCGACTTATACTAAACTGAAAACATCACATCATTAGATATCAACCCTCTCGGATAGTGACTTAACGGCCATTGATGTTACTGCTATTATTTTACTTTCAAATTTTCGATTTTATCCTCCCTTGCTTTAAAACTCCATCACTCTGGAATGAAAACCATAAACTAGGTGTCTTTAAAGCAGGTATTTACCTTAACTGACTAATTTATAGCGGAGGAAAATCCATAGGAAAAAGATAAAACATCACAGGATTAAATCAATGCTACTTACATTATTCGGGTCCAAACAACAAGACACACAGTGTTCATAGACAGAACAACAATGATTATCTTTGCATGTATGGCAAGCAAAGCGCCATTCAAAAATTTCAGATGGGCAACAACTATTGGTCAGTAAAGCAGTATAATTACAGATGTATCCTAATTCATCCACACAGATAGTATAACTCTGTTTGGTGTAACGACAAGTAGAATTCGGTGACACAATTCCAATATCTAAACAAAAAATAACGGGAGAACAGATTAGATTTGTTATCAGGCAGTTTCATCATCATATTACTATAACCAAGGTGCGATGAATAAATCAATTCCACAATTAATAAGAGTCAGTTTATTATTTCACTATAGAGGATAGAAATTCTTCTGAAAAACGCAAGTGCACGATGCTTGACGTGTTAGATGTTACTGGTCTATTATAGCCATGTAATCCTACCATGAGAGGGTAACAGGACAGTTGAGTAATGAAGTAACATTGACTACGAAACGAGCAGACAATAGACAAATCCCTACCCAGCTATTTTAGCTCCAGTTGGTAAAAAAAGCGATTACACCAAGTAATGTGCTAAGTCAACCGAAACGGCTTGAAATCGGTTGACTGAAATTGCCAACGAATTTACATAACTCAGTTGGTATATAAACTTCAAGTCACTTCAACTTTCTGCGTCTAAAGAAATGGATGCTCAGATGATGTACTTAGGATCAAGTTTGTTGAAAGCAACTAGCTTAACAGAAAAAGTCGTTTACGCGCTGAATGATTACCTGATAAAACAAAGCATAACTTTATACGGAAGCGTATCAGTAAAAGTCACCACAATTCGAAAGGCAACGCGAAAGAAAAGAGAAATGTAATGATGTGACAAAAAACACATCGGTGTGGAAGAGAGAATAATTTGATGATTTATGAAAACTCCCAGAATTTATAGAAAAAAAGAATAAATATGTCTGTGTTAGTAGCCAATTTTTATCTACCCAATTGAAGAGACGGTGATTTTTAGATTTCACGTTTTCGTCATCAATGTGGCAAAACATGTGAATTCATTTTCATCAAGTAAGGAATTAGCACGCACTTCCATTCGGTACAACAGAGCGGAAATCAGAGGGATAATAGAGGCGTTAAAGATTCAGTGTAAGATGAACAATGAATGGACCTGTATCAGGTGACGGATAGCGTCCTATTACTTATCTTCCAATCACTAACTGCCAACACAAGGACTGCACTGTTCATCACATATAGTAGTAACAAATTATTATTCGGTAGATTGGTGCTGTATGTTTCGATTTAACTGTCAGTTTTTCTCAACGTACCATAACTTCAAGTGGTACAATACATGGAAACATGCACTTTCAATCACAAAAATGTATCTAGACTAATCGACTCATTTTACCGAGTACTGTTCTTTTCTGAAACAGTACCTGTAACTCTGAAACTATTTAAGTTGTTGGGTTTGTAGAGACTAATTTTTGGATCTATTTTGTTCCATAAAACATCAAACGTTATTATTTACATAATGTAGTATTATATTACTGATTATGTTAAATAAATTTACATATGTTAAAGGATAAAAAGACAAATTACATTTCCACGAGACTGATGCTCTTACCGAGATTTGACACTTCAGATGGAAATGTCACATATGCTACATTTTTCAAGCTTTCTTTATAATTCTAGAAGATAGTTATTAATGAAATTTACTCACATACATTAAACATGAAGGATGAACACAAAATCCATACAACTACGAGTAAGACAATCAGAAGACGAGAGCGATATCGGACCATAAATGTGTAATTTTTAAAGCTTCATTAGGGCCAGTTAACCCTAAAGGATGGAGAGCTGTTAAGAACACTAAACACGAAGGCATGCAACATAAAACAAAAAGCTTCCTAATTCCCAAAAAAGTCTGGAGATAAAGCAGAAGCACGAGCTGAAGCAAGCTTGTTTATGCTACAAACAAAAATCAAAAACCAAAAGTGACAAGTTTTGAAATCTAAATAGTTACTGTTTTGAAGCAGACTCACACCACAACATTTTACAATAACAGACAAATAATGACTGATTTTTTTATTAGGGTCACTTGGTGATCCATATCGTAGGTGATTGTGACTTGAAATTACGTTTCGGTCTGACACACCAGCTTTTACCTCCAACAGAATCTCCGTAGCACAGAAAAACACAATCTAGAGCAAGATTGGTCAAAATAATAATCATATACAATGAATGTTCCAAGGCTCATGATACCAGTCAGTCATTCAAAACGAAGTAATGATGAATTCAGAACGTGCTTTCAGAATCTGTATGAATAATACTCTAATGTTTCATTGGCGTTGTCAATGAAACACCTTGTAAGCCAACTAGGGGCTGCAGTCATTAGCTTTGATTGTCTCCATAAACTTAGGTACGGAACTTATACAATCCTAACGATCTACAGAGATATTTAAGGGGTCGCAAGGGGTTTTGTGCGTCGGTGGCACAGTGGTTAGGACTCTCGCCGACCATGCACATGGTCCGGGGATCGAGCCCGCACCAACGCACACCTGATATCTATGGTCGGCCTGCGAAATTCGGGCTACCGATATGCATGCGAGAAATTCCATACTTGTACCGAAAATACAGTGTAAAATCAAGCTGTAAATTAAAAAAATAAAATTAAATAAATTCGTCTTTAATGTATGTATTTGTACTTCATTTGGTTGCCCATACTCTAAATAAAGTTGATCAGTATGCACAGTTCTTCACAAATTTTAAAACATTAACCCCTCATTTACCATCAGACAGACATTAACAGACATGCTGTACCCTTATTAAAAATAAATCTGTACTGTAAACCTACCTAGATATTGAAGACGCTTCTAACAATTATAAATGTTTGGGATGACTATATGCACAAATATATAGCGGAATGTTAAAACCAAAGGACATGCGCGAATTAACAAACAAAATTTCGCAACTGCACCAACATCACTGTTTACCTGGGTACCGCTAGGGTTGAATAAGTTGGCTTATTTAAACAAAATTATTTGTATTTGGTTGCGAAATACATTAAGACAAGAGGAATGCTGACCTCACATGAAGAATTTTACAGCTTTGCTATCCAAAAGATTGCAATTAAACTTACTTACCGCTGATTTGGGATGTTGATATGCGTTGAGCTCAATAATAGTTAGGCTGTCCTATGGTAACCTGTTGTCATCTGTGTATGAGACTCCCAATCGTAGTACAGAGACCAATAGAATATTAAACACTGCTCACTGTGCAGAAATCTTTGACTTTCAGATTACATCTCGTTAGGGAATTATTAGTTTGATCAGTCGGCTTGTTATCACGGGCTTGTTTCGACACCATTTTACATTTTCCCTGCTTTTCTGTAATGTTATCTGACCGAATGTCTCAACAACTATGGCTGGACATCCTCACCAACTCTACCAATCTCATATGCTTTATAAATAGGCAGCGGCTGGCTCTGTTGGAGTTTATCGATGAGTTATAATCCCATTCATACTTGCTCGAAAGATTGATTCTAAACAATAATGCCATCTCTCAAGCTCAAAAGGCTGTGGTTCCTCAACGCACTGCCCTTGCATGCTAGTTGATTTACATCCACTTACGCCCCGAATAGGCCGGTTCATTGTCTTATATACTTAACATCGCCACAGTTGTAGCAACAAACGCTCTCCGAAAGGTGCTAGCCCCAAACATATCAACATTCAACACTGAGTTGAGCTGAAAGCAGCCTACTGAACATCGTTGTCACCTGAAATGAAATGAAAATAAAAAAGCTATGAAATGCTACAAAACCAGCTAACAGCCCAATAAGCTGGTGGAAAATTGTAGAGGTAAACAACGATATGACTCATGGAAGAAAAATTTATTGAGCAAGTTAATTTACTTTGTGAATCCCGAAGGTAAGAAAAGTGAATACGTTTTAGTGAAAATTTTGTATCTTAATGAGTGACTATTCAACTAGGACAAGCTTCTCCCTGCGTATCAACTGACGCTTTTGCGGTCTTGGAATTTCTGTCTCGAACTTTAAGTGCGACAGGACAGAACGTCAATCGATTATTATTAGGGATATTGTATTAGTCTGTAGTGCCAAGTGTCAAGCGGCCACCGTCAACCTAGTCTTTGTTCCCACTTCCCTCTGCAATACAGGTTGCGCCCGCATAACTGAATGCAGCGCCGACGCAAATCCTTTTACATACTGTACTATGAGAATAAATCTATTTATTTATTTATTTAAATGAAATAAACATATCGTTGATTTCAAAATAACACATCAATGAACTATAATTCAAGGATTCTGCACACAACAAAATTATGTATGAAAATTGACTTGAAGCTTTATTTTTTTCCCAGGCACTTATAGCCCATCCACCAAAGACCTGCTCTTGCTTTGTTAATGAGAAGACAATACTTCTGTATTTCCTGATGTGTTGCACTCACTGAAAATCTAGCAGATTTTTCCAACTGTGTACAGAAAGGATTGTACATAGGTGAAAAGGCTGTTTCACACTATTGGGATTAACATTTATCAAGTGTATGTAAAATTTCCAGCGTACTTGTAAAACATAATTTGCTATCGGCTGTAAATTGTGACTCACTAATATGCTCCTATTTCTGTAACAATCTGATGATGCCTGTAAACTGGCATCCTTCATGTACTGTAATATGAGAATAAATTTATTTATTTATTTATACGATATATGGCGACGCTTGGGGATGAGCTTGAGGAGGAAAAAATCCTCTTACAATCTCACATCACTTCCACATACTAGCTCCATATCAGTGCATCTGCAAGGAACTTTAGTATTTATAGATGTTATAGACATAAGGATAAGTGAGCTATAAAAGTCAATGGTTTCTAGATAATATGGTTGTAGCGCACTTCTACAAATGGACAATATAATCCCCAGATAAGTTCACTGAAACGAATTGCACAGTGGTTGTCAGCCACGTCACGCTAACCCTTAGTGCCCAGCTCTTGCTACGCTGAGACTCACGCTGTTCCTTGAAGTTTCTCAGAAACACTTAGTACGAACGGACGCAAAAACCAAAACACCAATTGGTGACTCGAGGATTCTTTATTGTAACACCAACATATAGCCAACTTTAAGCTTTAAAACTAAAGTCTATGAACAAATATTACAATAATAAATCACAGTATTACTTCTGACAGTTTTCTCCTGACTTCTTTCTGAACAGCGACCGATGAGACGATGACTGGCTGATTAATGCCTCCGCGAAAATTGGGGAAGTTGGTTTTGAGCGAACAGCTATGAATTGATCGTTCAATCTTCAACTACATTGACAGTGGTTTTGGGGTGTCTTTGGGCCAAAATGAGGTTTTCTTTTAGCTATAGGTGATACAATACGAGGATTGACAGAGGAAGTAGATGGTAAGAACTAGTGAGAATACGAAACGAGGGCTAGCACGACTATATTTTCATTCCGAAGGGAATTAATGAGGATAAACGTTATTGCGTTTTAAATTTACCTCGATTCTGGTTTTCTCATCTTTCATTGGGTAGAACAGTGGTGGACAATCGGATTTTTGATTTGTCATAGTTAGGTGCTGTCGTGTGCAGCTTTGTGTGTTTGTGTTATACTTGGTTTTCAAGCAACAGTGATGAATATGAATGTAATATTTGGCTATTCTAACATTGTTTCACCGTTTTTATACAGACGCATACCCATTTTCGATGCACACTCTCTTGAAACTGGTTAGCCGTTACGGTGATTATCAGTGACTACTATATCACGGGTGCCAATGCATTTCTTGATTCGTGGTTGCACGCATAGTATTTTTTACTTCGATTTTTCTCAATCAAATAGTCTGGTGTCCTGTGTTTCTTGAGAATTAACTGTGACAAGCAGTGGCAATAATTTACTACGTTGCTGAAGCTTTTTTTCAGAGTTTAACAACACATAATCAATGAGAGCAAAAGCGGCACATATGTAAGAAGAATTTCAAAAAGTTAGGACCGTATAAATTGCTAACAGTCACGAACTTTTTCACATACTAGTATGTGGCTTCGTTCACACGCAGAGGAAAAGTCGGCGAATGAGACAATGTATGGTAGGGAGACAAATTTGTGGAATTTTCATCTAGCCTGTATGTTTTCGTCGAGTATTTTCGTCCCTCAGAATATTAACCAAGTATATATGAATATATTCTTCCAGTATGATCCGATGGCACAGTTAATGGCACGTAACAATATTATGTATGCCTACTATTTATCAAATTTTCTGCGCCATTAAAGTGCTCCAAATTTCAAAAGAAGTGTAAACTACGATGACTGAATTTACTGGATACATATGTCATATATGGGAACGCACGCTAATTATGTTAATGCCTTATTTATGAAAGTGAATTTTATCTGTATCACTTTTAGGAATGTTGATTCTTATTGAGGTATGTCAGTTAGTTAAATTCAGTGGAGGCTTATATAGTCGCATACGGACAAAGTCATCCTGAAAAACACCCACGAGTGTTTAACAACTTATTACGAGATACATTTGCATAACCAGTTGTAGGAGTTGATACATGCAGCAACAAGAGTGTTCACTCATTCACTTATAACCATACGGATATTCTTTGTTTCACTTTGTGATACCGGATAACTTTGGATGTGGGCATACAGTTCTGTGTACTTTAATTGCGGAAGAATTTAAATATGACGCAATTTGGACAATGGGCAGTTTCCGTCAAATAATGGTAGATACTTCCCAAACGAAGACTTACATCTTGGACTGTGCCTAGCCTAAATATCCAAGTGAACTT